ACATCATCTTTTTTCCTGATTAGGCAACATCATCCATGTTTGCATCTTATCTTTGCAGGTCTGTTTTCTATTTGTATATCAGTGAAGTGGTTGTCCAGGTTTGTTTCACTAATTCCTTTTCTTTTCCTAAAAATATTGGCAGTCATTTGTAGAAAGTATTTATCACTCATGTATAGATTGGATGATTTATTTGATGCCCAATTTAATCCAAATTTCATAGTCTGCTGTCTTTCTTGAACTGAACATACATCGTCGTCCTGCTTGACGAGGTAACTTGGTTCAGATTTTGTGTATTGACTTGTAGGTATTATTTGGCATCCTCTTGCTTGTGTATATCCCTGATTTGGATCCTTATCCGGGATATTCGCCCTTGCAAGCCGAATCAGTGGACAATACTGCCTATGAAGAACTTCCGGGAGCTGAGCGAGTATGTCCTGAGAGGCACGTGAACATATTCTCTAGTAAGTAATCAAAGCTTAGATTTATTTCTCTAATTTGAAAAAGATTATTTGCCTCTTAGCGGAATAATTTTTGGTTTTCACCTTAGATATTTTTAGTTCCTCCGATTAATAATTGTTTATTTTGCTTCTTACATAGAAATCACATTCTCTTGGATGAACCCAATCATGCAGCTGGGATATAGAAGGCCTCTCACAGAGAAGGATGTCTGGAGACTCGACACTTGGGACAGAACAGAAACACTGAATGACTCGTATGTGCATGGAATAGATAAAAATCTGTGACTAAGAACCTTCTTAATCCTGTTTATATAGAAAAAAATAATGAAACATTTTCACGCAATGTATAGGTTCCAGAGGTCTTGGGCTCGGGAGATTCAGAAACCCAAACCTTGGCTATTAAGAGCTTTAAATAGTAGCCTTGGCGGAAGGTAGTCTTGCTGTCCACCTGGATATATATATATTTTTTTTTGGCATTTCTCACTGTTTGAGTGTGTTTAAATAGTTACTCATATTGCTTTGTTTTATTATCCAGAGAACTTGACATATCGTTGTTCTTTTTCTTTTTCCTTTTGACTTCTCAGATTTTGGTGGGGAGGCTTTTGGAAGGTACTGTACCGATTAATATTTATATTAGTTTAAGCTAGGGTATAGTTACAAGCTAATGTGCGTCCTTAACTTTTGTCTTCTTTATGGATCTTGTAAAATATGGGTCAATAGGAAAAATGTTCCACGTCAACTTTAGGCTCATTTAATGTGGTTCAAATTTTGGCTTGCATATATGAAGTTCCTTTCCATTAAATGTAATTCGTTTTTTATATGTAGATAGGGAATGATGTCTCACAGTTCATCGGTCCTCTAATATTGAACCGCCTTTTAGAAGTAAGTATAATTCCTATAGACTTCCTTATTGTGCATTTAATTCGTTATGCTTTCCCTCCTTTATATTTGTCATTTAGCAACCCTATTATTGGTGATATTCGCAGTCTATGCAACGAGGAGATCCAGCTTGGATTGGTTACATATATGCATTTTCAATATTTCTTGGAGTGGTATGTAATTATTTTTTTGTTTTCTTCCTCGTATTATAGATTGCCATAGTACGTACTGCTTTTGTCTCTTTAAATACTTCAGCCTTGTGGCTCTTGCTCTCCAAATATGTTTGCTGGTTGTCTTGAAGTAAAAACGCAGAACTTTGGCCAATAGATTGAAATAGAAGCTACTTCCGATATTATTTCATTTTTGATAAAAGATCTGCGTTCCATTTAGCTGTCACACTTTAAGTTTCCATTTCAGCCTCTTGTTACTAAGGAGAGATTCTTTCCTTGACAGCTTCTTAACTTCAACTTTATCCCTTACCTTAGGTATTTGGCGTGTTATGCGAAGCTCAGTATTTTCAAAACGTCATGCGTGTTGGCTATCGTTTGAGGTCAACTCTGGTAAGCTATCAACTCCCGATCTTTTATTATAGGAAGTAGTGTTCCAGTTCTGTTACTCTCTTTATTTGAATATTTGTTGTTTTGGCGTAACTATCTTGGTATNTTTTTTTTTTTTTTTACAAAAAAATGATTGAGCAAAGGCTTTGAGTTCCTATTGCATTGCATGGCACCCTGATACTTTATGGTACAATATTTCTAGGTTGCTGCAGTTTTCCGCAAATCCTTAAAGCTGACTCATGAGAGCCGCAAAAGCTTTGCTTCTGGTAAAATTACAAATTTGATGACAACTGATGCTGAAGCTCTTCAGGTATATCTTTTTATATATTGAAGGCATGTACCTCCAATTTTTGTAATTATGTTTCCTTGTAGGAAATTTATGTAATACTCAACAAGTCCGAATAATTTCTAGTTAGAAGTTTAAATAATAAAAGTTGATTAATTGAGAAAGAGATACTAAGGCTGACATTGACTAAATATTTTTTTTGTAAAATTCGACTGTAGCATTTATTCATTGATACATTCATTTTGTGCAGCAAATATGCCAATCACTCCACACTTTGTGGTCAGCTCCTTTCCGTATTGTTGTGGCCTTGGTTCTTCTTTACCAGCAACTGGGTGTTGCTTCACTTCTTGGTGCACTGCTGCTTGTTCTTCTGTTCCCAATACAAGTATGGAAAACATAATTTGTTCGATCTTTTTTTTTTTTCCCTTCTTTTTGCAAATTATGTTTGCCATTTGCTAGCAAAGAAATTTGTGAGGATTTATTGATTTACTCTGAAGAATGAAACTTCTTATGAATGCCATTTTTGAAGACTGTGACATGCTGAGCCTCAAATTGGCCGGAAAATTCTTGAATTTACATATTAATTGGTATAACCTTGTGTTTTTGTCTTTGGAAAAATGACTACCTGTCATATTTAGTTCTCATTTGAATTTGACTTATCAAAACAGACATTGATAATCAGCAAGATGCAAAAACTGACAAAAGAAGGGTTGCAACGCACGGACAAGCGAATTGGACTCATGAATGAAATCTTGGCTGCTATGGACACTGTCAAGTAAAGTTTCAGACTGAAATAATGATGTGTGAATTCAATGTTATGTTGTGCATAAATTTACGAGCATCTTTTCATACCAAAATGGATTTTCAGATGTTATGCATGGGAGAATAGTTTCCAGGCAAAGGTTCAAAGTGTTAGAAACGAGGAGTTGTCTTGGTACAGGAGAGCTCAGCTGCTGGGAGCCGTATGATTTTATCTTTAGAAATTGTTTTAATTACTATTTGTCTCGATTTTTGCATTCAATTCCATGCATAAGTCATAATTGAACTGTAGTCAATTTTAGAAAAAGCATTATGTAGTAGAATAAACAAGTTTATTGAATATAAATAACTTATGTTTCGTGTTTCTGTGAAATTATCGAAAAAACCTGTTTATTTTTCTTTGTTCAACGGATGTTTAGGAATTGAGACCTGTCCTTTATTTTTCTTCTCAGTTCTCTTGTATTCTCTATTATGATTTTTCCCTTACCCTATGTTACATGCTAATATTGTAAACACTATTCTGTGCTTGCAGTTGAACAGTTTTATACTTAACAGTATTCCTGTGGTGGTGATTGTTATTTCATTTGGAGTATTCACTTTACTTGGAGGAAACCTGACACCTGCAAGGGCTTTTACTTCTCTCTCGTTGTTTGCGGTTTTACGATTTCCATTGTTCATGCTTCCAAATATTATTACACAGGTACCCCCCCTCTCTAACCTTTCACTGTTACAATCTTATCAGTTGCGTTATTATAAATTGGCGTAAAAAAATTACCTGTAAATATTTTCTTGTCTGAATTCTATGAAGATTTGGTCTTTATTCAACTCATACTGTTATCGGGACTAGAACTTTACACATTGAGTTATTTGTTATGTTGACTTCTAAATCTGATATTGATTGTATATGGTTTTTGATAGTATTTTCTGAGATCTGCCATACTTTCGATACTTCATAGATTGGAATTTTGTTGGTAAAAAGTATTAAACATTAGTGAGCTAGTTTTGGTCATTTAC